CCCTCCCCCTTCCCTCCCTCCCTCCCTCCCCGCGTGGCTTTGTTTCCAGCACCGGGCAGCTGGTCAGCGGCGTGTCGTGCTCTCACATCTACGCTATGGGTGCCAGCGCCTTCCTGCTCCACTTCCGGCATTTCGAGAACAATCTCTCTCTGCTGTCTCCGGATCAGGTACACTGACCCTTCCTTTTGCTTCCGAACGGCTCTGTCTCCCGCACTCACTGGGCCTCGACTGAATGTGGTATCTTAGGTATCATGCCAGAATTAGATTCAGGCAACGGCTGGACATCAAAAATTGAACAAAGTTTTCTCCAAATTCTTTTTACATTTCCAAGTGGCTACATGGCTGCAGTCAAAGTATGAATAAATTGGGTTTTCCACACTCACACGTGAACTTTGAACGTGTGTTTGCAAGGTCTGCCCTTCCGTGTCCGAGTAAGGCCTCCGGGGATGGAAGGGCGGCCCTCGCCCAATGTTCCTGTCCTGTCCACAGGTTACCGAGAATGGAAACAACTCTCTAACAGCATTTTCTTTCTTTTTACTTTCTGAATGGTTCTGGAGACACTTTTGCCCTTTGGGGAGACTGCAGGCAGTAACTGAATTTTTATAGTGGCCAAGTTAGTAAACAGCGAGCCGTGGGGACAGCGTTTGGGGGTTGTGCATCAACCATGAGCCGCAGAGTCCTGAGAGGGAGGTGGGTGAATTCCTGGGGTGTTTTCACCTCTGGCCCTGTGATTCAGACCCAGAATATGACTCCAAACAGCGAATCCTTCCTGCATGCTCCAGAACCGCTGGCCCATAATCCTTTGCGATCCATTAAGTGGGGGCGGGATGGGTGTGGGTGTGGGTGAAACCCCGCGCCCTAAAGGCTCCTGCGTGGTGATTTTGCACTGGACCATTTAACAACACTGAGAACCACCCTCTTTTTCTTGACCCACCCCTGTGGATATCCTTTTGCAATGACATGGGACTTTTTTTTGTATTTAGTGCAGGGTCTCCAGGGTCTCACTACACAGATCAGACTTGTAGTGATCCTCCTGGTTGCAGCCTCCCAGGTGCTGGGATTACAGCTGCGCCCACCACGGCCAGTGTCAGTTGCCAGGTGTGCGCCGGGGCGGGGCGGGCCCGGGACGCCCAGAATCGAACCCCAGTCCCTGCGTCTGCCTAAGCAGGTGCTTTAGGACATAGGACTTTATTGTCTCTACTTCAAGACAGTTACTGAAACGCCTTCCTGTTCTGAAACCCGAGGATGATCGTGAGTGACAGCCTCACTGAGTACTGCCGAGTGTTCCATGCAGCAGAACAACTCTGCCTTCATCCAGAGGCGGGCGGAGCATGTGGAATAGTGAATTTCGCTGGGGTAGAAGCCAAGGCCCGCTGGACGCCACCAGAATGGGGTCTCCCAGGGCCGAGAGCGGGGAAGGATCGGGGTCCCGGTTTCTTTTACGCGGATGTGAGTTTTTTTTCTCAAATGGGCTAGGCAGGGACTGCTCTCCTTCTGCGCTGGGCGCGTGAGTGGGGGCTAATTAGGAGGTCTAATTACTGTGCTGGCTGCTGTTTCAGCCGCGGAGGGGCCGCTGCTGTGACATGGACGCCACCTCTGCGACAAGGCCGGGCTGGGGCTTCAGATGGGGTTTTCGCTGTGACTGAGGCCCTCCCTCGGTTCTGGGAGATTCTGCGTGCAGGGTCGCTCAGGCTGTTTTTCACCCCAGTAGCCTCTTGCTTGCCACGCATGTCGTGGGGGCATCGATCTAGGCAACCTCAGGAGGTGGCTTGCGCTGCCGCCGTGGTTTCAGTTATTCCCGTTTGTTTCCGTGTCTGGAGATCCAGCGCTCTTGTCTTGCTCTGAGTCTTTGTTAGTGGTATGGGCGATAATTCTAAAGAGAAGTAGGATGCACAGATCGGATGTATCCGAGCTCAGTTTTTGACTCATCCAAGGTTGTGCTTGGTGGCTTGGAATAATCGTGTTGACATTTCTGACATCTAAAATCATAGGCGTTTCAGACAGCGTTGGCCTGAGTGACCTTAGAGGCCTCAAAACCTTACGGTGATGCCCGAATTTGGTGCCCGAGTGTGCATCCGGGCTCCTGAGTGTGACTTCATGGGAGAGGTGACTCCTCCGAGGTCCATGAAGACGCTGCCTCCAGTTGTTACAGTGCCTCCTTGTTTTATCTTTAAAAAGGCCATCGTGACGTTTTATGTGCCCTCTCTACAACCCCTTGCCTAGGAAAACAGCTCCTTAGTACGCGAGCTGGCTTCTCGCACATCACCACTGTTAGCATTCGCTGCCCTTGCTGTTTTGATTTTGAGGCCGAAGCTGTTTTTGACCCTGGATATGTGTGTTACGGCTTCCTTGATCTGCCCTTTGGCTGACTTTTCTGCACAGTTCACTCTGAGAGTGCTGTCTGCGGCATTCCACCAGTGACCGCAGCGCAGCGCTGTGCAGGCCTCCACACAGCATCATGGGAGGTTTCACCGCCTTGCCTCTGGGAGGAATGCCTACAGAGGACGGAGTGCAGTACCAGAGCAGATGCTGCTTCTGCAGGAGCCATGCTGACCACGGCGAGTGTCAAGCTGGCCAGGCTCTGTGCCACATGAGCCATTACACCAGAGGATACAGACTGGAGGACTGAATGGAGACAGTTGGTCCGGTATCATTGAGAATCTGCAGAAGTAAGAGATAAATTGCCAGAGTTACATGTGAATTGTTACGTCTTAGAAGAAGCGCGGTGTATTTGGAGACTACCTAGTTGCAACATGTGGGGAATCTGGGATACGGAAGGCCCTGCCAGTGCAGCAGCCCCCCTTGCTGGGCAGCACCCTGATCTCGGACGCCTGGTACGAGGATTGAAAAGCTAAGCAAGAAAGACATCATTTCAGCTAGTTCTGATGCAGAGAAAGTGGTGCAAAGACGGCGTCAAAGGCACAGACTCGAAGTGCGTTAAAATCACAGGCTTTAACACCAGGTGCGGAAAGAAGAGGCTCAGCATGGCTTCAAGTTTTTCTGATTACCAAAGAGCAAATTTATTTTTCTCTATTGAATGCCAGCCTTGTTAGGCCTGTCACATAGATAATTGACTTATGTTTGGAAAAGATCTTCAATAATTTCCACTGTTTTTAAAGATCTTTTCCAGTTAAAGTGTTTTTAAAAAGATTGTTTTGTAATGTTTTGAGTCTCCGGAATTTGCTTACCCAACCAGTTATGCGTTTTCCCCCTCGATTAGCTCCTAGCTGAGGGATATTAACCTGTCTTTAGAACCCAGTGACTTTTCTCCTAAGATCCTGGTAAAATGAAAATTGGTGGCTAAAAACAGGACAGTACTGGCAAGAAACAGACCCAGATTGGAAGACGCAGGAACAGCTCCCACATATTCAGCCACCTTGTCTGTGACACAGAGCCGAACCCTTCACCAGAAGGACGCCTCCGGAGCAAGTGGTGCTGGGAAGCTGGCCTTCACGTGCCAGAGACTAGAACTAGGCCTGTATCTTTCGCTACTCACTAAACTAAAACTGCAATGGATCAAAGATCTAAATATTAAAACAAACACTATATCTGCGGGAAGATAGAACAGGTAGAACTCTTGGAGACGCTGGAGTAAGCAGCCTAGGAACATAACCCTGATCATACCGGAGCTATTGCAAAGAATCAACAACTGGGATCCCATCTCATAAAAAGCTCTTACACAAGAAGAAAAATCACCAACAGAGGGAAGAGGCAACCCACAGTGTTTGAAAGGAAGTTTTGCCTGGTGTTCCACAGACAAATGGCTACTATCTAGAATATATACAGAACTAAAAAAATCAGATACACCCAAATTTAAAGACTCAGTCCAAAAATGGGCATCTTGGGGCCAGGTAGATGGCTCAGTGGAATAAGCGCTTCCCTGGCAAGCACAAGGCCTGAGTTCAATCCACGGTTCCTAAAAACAACAACAACAACAACGACAACAACAACAACAACAACAACAACAAAAGGGCATCTTCTTTAAGATTAAGAAGTAGAAATGGCAAATAAATATATGGAAAAATGTTCAGCATCAGGGCCAGGGATATAGCCCACAGCACAGCGCCTGCCTGGCAAGCTTGAGGTCATGAGTTTGATTCCTGGTACTAAAAAGAAAAGAAGTTCAACATCGTTGGTCATTCAAGAGATGCAAATTAAAACAGTGCTGAGGTACCGCCTCACCCCAGAAAGAACGGCTATTATCAAGAAATCAACCAGTAACAATCGCTCTTGAGGCTCTGGGGAAAAAGGAGCCTTCTCCCCTGCTGGTGGGAGTGTAGACTGGTGCAACTGCTGTGGAAATCAGTATGGAGATTCTTAAAAAAACCCCTAGAATTAGCAGTCCCATTTGGCCCAGCTATTCCCCTTCTGGGAATCTTCCCAGAAGAATTAAAAACATTCTACCTCAGTGGTATATGTGTGCCCATGTTTACAGCAGCATAATTTGCAATACTCAAATCTTGGAAACAACCCAAATGTCCATCAATTGAGGAATGGATGAAAAAGATGTGGTCTTCTTTTACAGTGGAGTACTTCTCAGGCATAAAAGATAAACCCGAGTCATCGGTAAGTGGAGGCACTTTGAGACCATACTCTTCTGTGCAGTAAATCAGACACCTATGTGTAAATACTACGTGCTGCTCTGGTGTGGGAAGGCAGAAGTTTCAGTAAAGACCACAATGCACAACAGATATTGTGAAACAGGAAGAAAATGTTCAAATGGGGGAGGGAAGAGAGGGAGAGGAGAGGAGGGAAAATACAATGTAGAAGAGAAGGAAAAGATGGAAGCAAAGCCTTTGTAAATAAGGAGGGGAAGAGGGGTTGAAGGCAGTGGGGCAATGGGAAAAAATCAAGGTATGCCATGTTCAGGCACGAATTCCTTATGATGGACTTGATCACCATGCAAACCTAAAATGTGTCAATAAACTTAAGGAAGCAGAAAGGAAAAGCCAGTTAAATTTATCAAACGAGATTATCAGATGCTAAGTCTTGAATGAAGCAAAGCTCTTTCTGATTTTAGTAGGAAATATATACGTATATACGCATACATACATGTATTTAAGTGTATTTGGTACAGTGTCTTGCTACGTACGAAGCTTGGACTCGTACGGTTCCTCCTATTCTCAGCCTCCCTGGCACTGGGATTACAGGCCTGCACCACCACACACGGACTCAATGGCTGGCTCAGTGAGCTTGGGGCGGGGCTGGGGCGGCATGTGGTACAGGGGATCGAACCCGGTCCCTGCGTGTGGGAGGCGGGTTCTACTCCCAGAGCGGCAAAAACAAAACACTACAGATTGCAGGCCCCAAACTCAGTTTCCCATAAACTAGGTCTGGGGTGAGGCCTCAGAGTTTTCATTTATTTTTTGAAAATTCTATACTTATTTATTTGGTACAGGGCCTTGCTATGCAGCTCAGACACACACCGATCCTCCTGTCCCAGCCTCCCAGCGCTGGGATCACAGGCGTTCCCACCACGCCTGGTCTCTGTGGCCGGCATGGCATGTGGTATGGGGGTTGAACCCGGGTCCCTGTGCTTGCCGGGCAGCCACTCAGACTGCAGCGAGCTCTCTCCAGCCTTCGTTTCTTCTCTATGGCTCTGTGGGCTGGACCCCGGCTTTGCCGCAAGTGCCTACTACAGAGTCCGCCCACAGCTTAATTTGCATTTCTAATCAGCTCCCTGGAGAGACTCACCAGACTACATTAAGAACCCTGCCCAGGGCCTGGGCGGGGAAGTCAGTGGTGCAGGAGATGGGTGGGGCCAGGCCTCCTGAGGGAGACCTACACCAGAGGGACAGCCGTGTCCCAGCAAGGCGCTGCTCAGATTCCGGGGGTCAGAACCTCCAAGCGCCGGTTAATTAGAAAATTTGTCTAGACTGTTTACATTTTACTGCAAATGCATAATTAGTGTACACAATCAAACAATGTGGAGCAAGTAAAAATTTCCCCAAATGTCCCTGGAGCAGTTCTCCACAGCAAGGCTGCTTTGCTTCCTGGGGGCCTTTTGGCTGTGTCTGGACACTTGGTTGTCACAACTGGAGTGTGGGTGCGGGTGTGGTATGTGTGTGGTGTGGGTGTGGGTGGGGCGTGGGTGTGAGGGTGGCGTGTGTGTGGTGAGGGGTGGCTTGGCTGCAGGTTTGGTGTGGGTGTGAGTGTGGTGTGGGTGTGGCATGGCTGCAGGTGTGGGGGTGGCATGGCTGCAGGTGTGGGTGCGGGTGCTGGTGCAGGTGGGTGCGGGTGCTGGTGCAGGTGGCTGCGGGTGTGGGTGCGGGTGCGGGTGCTGGTGCAGGTGTGGGTGCGGGTGCTGGTGCAGGTGGGTGCCAGTGCACACTAGCCATGCTTCAGCTGCTGTGTTTACTTGAGGTGCCACCTATCCGGTTAATAACATTCCATAGTTATCATAGACAGATCTGGTCCACAATCTCTGAAACAATTATATGGAGGAAGCTAAATAAAAGAGAAGAGTGGAATGATTTCAGGGCTCCAGCTGAATCAAAGCTGCTCAGAATCCAGATTCTCTTGGGGCTAAGACCAAGACCCCCTCTCTGGGCAGCCCACATGTATTTATTTATCAGAAGAAGGCAGGGGAGCACTCAGGAGGGCAGAGCCACTCCATGTGAGGCTTTAAGCTAAACCCCAGGCACGAGGTGCTGAGCCACAGTCTTCACGTGGCTGAGGATGGATCCAGGTGGTCTTGGCTGTGACTCTGTCTTACCCTTTGAGACTTTCTGGCTTCATCCTCCGAGAGTGGCCTCAGTGGGCACCAGCGGCTCACAGAGCCTCACTCTGCGTCTGCTGCCCATGTCCATACAAGGGCCCAGGCCTTGGCAGACTCCCACATAAGCATGAAAAGCCCACTGGTTAATGTAAGTCCCGCTCCGGGCTGCTCCGTGGTGGTCTCTCGTGGGTGGAGGTGGGAACACTGCTGAGTGACCTGCAGTGCACAAAGCAGCCTTCCCTAGAGTACTTGGTCTAAAATGTTGGCAGTCCCGAGATCAGTGTCCCTCTTCCATGTGTATGGAACACAGAAAGAGTTTGTTCTTTGAAGTGTATGAAGATATTTACATGGAACATAAAAATACAAAGGGGTCGATACTATCCACTGTCTAGTACTCCATGGCATGCGTATACCATAACCCACTTAGCCAATCCCCTCCTGCTGGGCACTGAGGTTATGTCTCACTTATGGTAATAAGCAAGATTGTGATGGACATCACCACACTTAAACTGTTGTGTTCATCTTTTTATTACCTGTCTCCTCATCTGTAATGTGAACACAAACACACTACCCACTGCACGGGATGTTTTATGCATAAATAAGTATCTAAAAACCCTTCGGACAGTGCTAGCTAGCACCAGAAAGTACCATCTGGGTTTGCTCTTGTCATTATCAGACTAAATTCCTAGAAACACTCATCTTCCAGGTTAACTGTTTGGCGTGGAAATACTGGGACGTGTCCAGGTCGTCGATGCCGCCATTCCTCCTGGTCGCACTTCCGTAAGTGACTGTGGGACCCTCTTTTCTGGCTTGCCAGTTGGACGGGCAGGATCCCAAACCGAAGTGATGCTCTGCCTCACTGGAGGAGGCTGAGGCAGCGTGGAGAGGCTGAACCCCGCTAAGCCCCCAAGAGCCTCAGTTCTGAGCTCCACGTCGATGACATAGATTTTTGTACTGTCTTGGTTTCTCTTTTTAAAAACCAAGGGCAAGGCAACCCATGCCCGAACAATTTCCAGTGGAGCAGGCTTCCCTCGGGTGGGCCTCTAAGGCAGACCTGCCGGGACGGTGAGGACTTCCTGCTCTTCCAGGGTGCTGTTTTTCTTTTCCTTCACTTCCCTCCACCTTCTTTTGTTGTTATGATCTTAATTCATTCAACATATGCCTCTATATTCGGGTACTTACTGTGAGATAGCTGAATTTTCCCCTTATAGTCTCTGGGGAGGAGACAAACATGAAGTCGATTATGATATCAAACTGGTAATTGCCTGAAAATGACCGAACCTGGTTCAAATGGGCTCAGGCAACACAAGAGAAATTTTGGTTCTGGTAGCTGAAGATTCCAGGGGGGATTTCAGGCCTGGTCAGATCTAGGGACTTGAAGAGTGTCATCTGTCTCTCAGGCCAGTTTTCTCCTGTTGGCTTCGCTGTCAGGCAGATTCTTTCTCTCCCGTGTCCCTTGGAAGAGCCACAGTGACATTTTCTCAATGTCATGTCCAGGAAAAGAGACTCTTCCCAACCTTCTTAATGAGCTCTTGGGCTTGGCTTCTGTTGGCCTTAATTGGGCCAGTTTGGTCCCTGGGACCAATCCCTGGGCGGATGGGCAATTCTGACTGGAGCTGAGGTGAAGTTGGCCATGCCCCATGTCACAAAGACAGCTAGAGAGGAGAGGTTTTCCAAGGTGTCCCAGAGCTGCTGCCGTGCGGATGGCGGGGTCCAGTGGGCACGGAGGAGGGGATGCTGTCTTTGGACTCAGGAGTGCAAGAGAGCCTGAGAGACGAGTTGCAGGTAGTCTCAGAGGGACACTCCAGGAAGCGATGGGGGATGTCTGGGCCAGCGGTGGTGGGGGCCGTCGAAGCACACGGTGTATATCCAAAGCAGGTGCAGAGAGAAGCCTTAACAGTGGGGACCTCAGGTCATGGAGGGCTTCGGGGACAGTCTGATGTGTTTCATTTATATTCTGGGTGCAGCAATCAGGTTTATTTTATTTTTATTTTTTATTTGATACAGGGTCTCGCTCTGTAGTTCAGACTTGCAATGATCCTCCTGTTTCAGCCTCCCCAGTACTGGGATTACCGGCGTGCATCCCCACGCCCGGTTCTGGAGCCACCATGGTGCCTTCAGGGCTCTGGGGCCGGCATGGCACGAGGTACCCAGGACAGAACCGGGTTCTTGAGCTCACCAGGCAGGCACTTAAACTGCTGAGCTGCCTCCCCAGCCCAGGCTTATGTTAGCGAAGGGTCATCACAGCCGGCCCCCCCCCCTCCCCCCGCCGGGGCAGAATACAGGAGCCAGAAGGAAGCCAGCAGCTGAAGGGGGCTGACCTGGCGACCAGATCTGCGCACGTGCGACTCCTGCCGCTCAGCCGGGCGCCTGCAGAGAAGGGGCTCCTCCGATCGCCCACTCCCCTTCCCTGCGCGGTGACGCCCTTGCATTTTCTTCCTTACGTTTGCCATTCACTGAACATTTCGGCGAACGCTGTCTGGCCCTGTGTTTCTCCCTCCTAGAAGCGGGGAGCTCTTGTATCTCGTCATCACTATCTCTGGCATAGCACAGGGCCTGGCCTGCAGGCAGCACTGAGGATGTTTGCTGAGGGAGAGAGGAAGCAATGAGGACTGGCTGGGCTTGGAGAGATGAGATCACATTAGGTTAACATAAAGGGACCAAGAGGCGTGGAGGCAAGAGGGCCGGAAACAGCACAGAGGAGGAAGAACGTGTCTGAGGGAAGATGCTGAATCTGGTTTTGCGATAGCCGAGGGGCTTGGATGGATAGGCTGTGTGGATCTTGGGCAGGCTTTCTCAATCTTTATTGCCTTCATTTTGGCCTTTCTAAGAAAGAACTTTTGTTTTATCCTAATAGGAGAAATTATATACCAGAAAAGATATTTCATTGAGTAGTGTTGAGCTTTGTTGAGTCAAAAATCATTTTACTGTCTGAGGTCCTTCCCCCACGCCATCAGAGCCATACTCAGAGGCTTAGGGAGGGCTCTGCACTGGGAGGACACCGAACCGGGGTCACTTCTACTCTTTTCACTGTTTGTCTTATTTCCTACTTCCATTTTATTCTATTTCCTTCTTCTGTTTATCTTCCCTCAACCAGTCCATTAGTCAGGGTTTATTGGGGATCCAGTCTTTGATCAGCGTTGCAGGAGCACAGAAGAGCAGCATTTTGGGAAGTTTGTTTCTGGCCTCTAGAAGAGGAGCACCATGGGAAGTTTGTTTCCCTCCCCTAGAAGAGGAGCACCATGGGAAGCTTGTTTCCCTCCCCTAGAAGAGGAGCACCACGGGAAGTTTGTTTCCCTCCCTTAGAAGAGTACCATGGGAAGCTTGTTTCCCTCCCCTAGAAGAGAAGCACCATGGGAAGCTTGTTTCCCTCCCCTAGAAGAGTACCAGGGGAAGTTTGTTTCCCTCCCCTAGAAGAGGAGCACCATGGGAAGCTTGTTTCCCTCCCCTAGAAGAGGAGCACCATGGGAAGTTTGTTTCCCTCCCTTAGAAGAGTACCACGGGAAGCTTGTTTCCCTCCCCTAGAAGAGCAGCACCATGGGAAGTTTGTTTCCCTCCCTTAGAAGACTACCATGGGAAGCTTGTTTCCCTCCCCTAGAAGAGAAGCACCATGGGAAGTTTGTTTCCCTCCCCTAGAAGACTACCATGGGAAGTTTGTTACCCCTCCCCTAGAAGAGGAGCACCTTGGGAGGCTTGTTTCCCTCCCCTAGAAGAGGAGCAGGATGAGTGGGAGACTTACTATGGACAAGGAGCCCCAGTGTCACTGGGGAGGAAGCCCCAGTGTCGCTGCACACAAAGGAAGCATTTGAATGTTCCCTGTGATGAGCTCTTGTGTGTGTGGGCCCTCCTTTCAGGAGCGAGGGCAGGGCCCCCACCGTCTTCCTCTCCTCAGCTTCCCTTTCTGTGTCCAGGGCCCGCTTCCTGGCTTCTGTCCCCACCTCCCAGTGTGTGCCCTTTCTGATCAGCCTGGGGAAGAATCAGCTGGACTTCTTGGTTTTAGATTCTCACAAGAAGGATTTGGTCCTTAAGAAAGTGCGGCAGTGCCTGGTAAGGACATTTCGTAAGTGTCGCTTTCACTCATGTCCCTTCTCCTTGGGGTGCCTGTGCCTATCTGGGGAGCCTTTGAGGGAATCTGGCTGAGATCTTGAGTCTGCTGTGATGCCAGGAAATCTGACTTGTGGCTTTAAAATCACAGGTTGGAAGCATTTGGCCATTAGCTCTGCAGACTCCTGTCCGAGGCCCTGAGTAAGGGGAGGCCACCCTGATGACTGGGAAGGAAAGGACGCTCTGCAGAGCTTGAGTTCTAGGCATGCAGTTATGAGGCTTTGGGAAAACCACGGTCTCTTCCTGAGCCTCTGTCTTCCCATCTGTAAGATGGGTGCTTCCCGGGGTTCTGGAGGACATGAAGCAGGCAGTGGGGAGCTCTCTTTAAAAAATGGTTGCTTACCTCTGACAGTTATTAGAAACGTTAAGTGGATCAGAACCTGCAGGCACTTAAAACAGCGCCTGGCACACAGCACACAAAAGCATAAGCTTTCTTGTCATTTTGAGAAAGAACTCTGAGAGGTTGAAGTTCTGCACAAACTTTGAGGTGCTGATTTTTTAACATGCTATGCTGTTATTATGATGCTTGCTAAACTCTGGGGAGTCCCGAGAGCTGCAACAACAGCAGCCCTCACCCACTGAGGGAGGGGCAGGATGGGCCCTGCTGGTTTTCTTAGACTTCTGAGACCGCACGCCCTGGGAAAACCCAGGCCCCTCTCTGTCTCTGCGGTCCACATCAGGGAAGCTCTAGAAGTTCAGGCCAGGAAGTATTTTTAAGGAATCATGTTCCTGGACACTGCTGGGCCTCTTATCAGCTTCATTGTTGGTTTCAGGACAACTCCAATGCTGATGAGTACATTGTGGACATCGTGGGAAACCTGCTCTGTCACTTACCGGCGGCCTTTATTGAAAGAGGGATCTCCCCCAGGGCCTGGGCCACCGCTCTGCACGGCCTCAGAGACTGCCCAGCCCTCGGCCCTGAGCAGAAGGCTGCAGTGAGGCTCCAGCTCCTGGAGCGCTGCGGGTGAGCACTCCGGAGCTGGGGCTCCCCTTCGTGGGGCTGCAGGAGCTGGGTGAGGGGGAGCAAAGGTTGCTGTCCTGCCCTGCCGTCCGCGAGAGAGTCTGGCGTGCGGTGCGCCATGCCTGCGCGCGGTCGGGAAGCATGCACTCCTCTCAGTGGTGGCTTCAGACTGCCTAGGAAGGAAGCGCAAGTGTAGCTGCAGCAGGCCTCACAGGCTGCCGCTGACACACGGCAGGAAGGCGTTCTGAAAAGGAGCACATTAAATGCGAGGTTTGGTATTCTTGTTGTTTGTAAGTCTTTCATTTCACGATCCCTGACCGCAAACCCATCTTCTGGATCTGATTTTCTTCTTCTTTCTTTTTTTAAAAAATGTATTTAGTACAGGGTCTGCTGGGTCTCACTACCCAGATTGGACTCAGTGATTCTTCTGTTTTCAGCCTCCCAAGCACTGGGATTACAGGTGCGCACCACCACGCCCAGTCTGTCACCCTCAGCACGCTCTGAGGGGCCGGCCCCTGCTTTAATCCACTGAGCTATCTGGTTGGCCCCTCTGCATCTGATTTTTGTCCACACATTGGTTGATTCTTTTGTGTGTGTCTTATTTTTCTTTTATTTCTTTTTATTATTTATTTATTTATTTATTTATTTATTTATTTATTTTTGGAACCGGGGATTGAACTCAGACCGTTGCCAGAGTTCAATGGAAGCACTTATTCCACTGAGCCATCTCCCTGCCCCCCCCCTTTTTTAAAAATTTTTATTTATTTATTTATGTGTGTGTATGTGTGTGTATGTGGCCAGCTCAGGCCACCAGGGGGCGGGGCTGGCTGGCATGTGGTGCTGGAGGATTGAACTGCGGTCCCTGTGCTTTGCTAAGCTCGTTCTAAGTAGGTACTTTAGACCACTGAGCCATCTCACCAGCCCCGGCCCCTTTTATTTTAAAGAGAATAAAAAGTAGATAAAACATAGAAACAATACAGAATTTCAAAAAAACCAAGATGATCAGATTCTGTTGCATATACTTTCAATATAGATTTTAACCTTCTGGGTATCTGTTTGAATCTCTTTCATGGAATCCAGTTCTTTTTAAAAATTTATTTATGGGTTTGGTACAGGGTCTCACTATGCAGCTGGGACTCGTAGTGATCCTTCTGGTTTCAGACTCCCCAGCACTGGGAGTACAGGTGTGCACCACCACACCACCACACCCAATCTCAGTGGCTGGCTCCTCATGTCCAGGGGCAGGGCTGGGGCAGCATGCGGTGCCCAGGATCAAACCCTGGCCCCTGTGCTTGCCTGAGCAGGTGCTTAGTCCACTGAGCTATCCCACCTGCCCTGGTATCCAGTTCTTTTCTATGTTTGGCATTCATGGTTTCCATTACTTTTTATTTTTTTTATATATATTTTATTTTTTTTGAAAATTTTATTGATAAACAGATAGCAATGAGACAGT